ATCTTTATAATAGCTTTATCATAATGAAAATCTTTATAATAGCTTAATCATAATAGCTTTATCATAATGAAAATCTTTATAATATAATGAAAATCTTTATAATAGCTTTATTTTTATAATAATCATAATGAAAATCTTTATAATAGCTTTATCATAATGAAAATCTTTATAATAGCTTTATCATAATGAAAATCTTTATAATAGCTTTATCATAATGAAAATCTTTATAATAGCTTTATATAATAGAAAATTTTATAATAATGAAAATCTTTATAATAGCTTTATCATAATGAAAATCTTTATAATAGCTTTATCATAATGAAAATCTTTATAATAGCTTTATCATAATGAAAATCTTTAAATCTTTCATAATGAAAATATAATAGCTTTATCATAATGAAAATCTTTATAATAGCTTTATAATGAAAATCATAATGAAAATGAAAATCTTTATAATAGCTTTATCATAATGAAAATCTTTATAATAGCTTTTTTATAATCATAAATGAAAATCTTTATAATAGCTTTATCATAATGAAAATCTTTTATAATAGCTTTATCATAATGAAAATTTTATATTTATCATAATGAAAATCTTTATAATAGCTTTATCATAATGAAAATCTTTATAATAGCTTTATCATAATGAAAATAGCTTTAATGAAAATATAATAGCTTTATCATAATGAAAATCTTTATCATAATGAAAATAATGAAAATCTTTATAATAGCTTTAATAATGAAAATCTTTATAATCATAATGAAAATAATAGCTTTATCATAATGAAAATAATAATAGCTTTATCATAATGAAAATCTGAAAATGAAAATCTTTATAATAAAATCTTTATAATAGCTTTATCATAATGAAAATCTTTATAATAGCTTTATCATAATGAAAATAATAGCTTTTATAATGAAAATCTTTATCATAATGAAAATCTTTATAATAGCTTTATCATAATGAAAATCTTTTTATGAAAATCTTTATAATAAACTTTATCATAATGAAAATCTTTATAATAGCTTTATCATAATGAAAATCTTTATAATAGCTTTATCATAATGATATAATAGCTTTATCATAATGAAAATCTTTATAATAGCTTTATCATAATGAAAATCTTTATAATAGCTTTATCATAATAAAATCTTTATAATAGCTTTATATAATGAAAATCTTTATAATAGCTTTATCATAATGAAAATCTTTTATAATATTTATCATAATGAAAATCTTTTATAATCATAATGAAAATCTTTTATCATAATGAAAATCTTTATAATAGCTTTATCATAATGAAAATCTTTATAATAGCTTTATAATGAAAATCTTTATAATAGCTTTATCATAATGAAAATCTTTAATATAATAATGAAAAAATTTTATAATAACATATAATGAAAATCTTTATAATAGCTTTATCATAATGAAAATCTTTATAATAGCTTTATCATAATGAAAATCTTTATAATAGCTTTATCATAATGAAAATCTTTATAATAGCTTTATCATAATGAAAATCTTTATAATAGCTTTATCATAATGAAAATCTTTATAATATTTAAAATGAAAATCTTTATAATAGCTTTATCATAATGAAAATCTTTATAATAGCTTTATCATAATGAAAATCATTTGACTATTGACAGCTGAGGATTGTCTAATTATTATCACATTATTCTTACTTCAACTCCACGATATCCGATTTTTTTCATTTCTTATATTTGTCAGTCATCAATTCAAAAACTTTCGCATCTTCCCGCTGTTTTTATTTAACTCAACGTTTCCCTCGCCCGTTTTATTTTCAAGGGATAGAGTGCTAAGTAGAGTAGGGCACACAAAAGCCATTCGTTGGAATGAGTTTTCCACAAAATCTAATGGTCTTATCTGCTTTGGATTTACTTTAGTACTTAATTATAAAATTTGCAATTGATAATCGTGTTATTTTTGTAACATTTACGTTTAAAATGACTAATTTTCTAATACAAACTAATTGGGATCAAAGTGGCTTAGTGGTTAGATATGAGAACAACAAAGGAGATTAACTATCACCAAATATTTTATCGAAAGTGCACACGCATTTTAGTGAAAAAGAAAAAATACCGTTTAAAAATTTACAAAAATCTATGGAATTTAAATTTTTTCAATACTTATTGGTGGTGAATAAATTAATAGGCAAATATTTTAGAAAACTTGGTGGAAATATTTCGTGGGATCTGTTTCATTTTCCGACTTCAATATATCACGGGTACTTTTAAATTTGTCGGATATGAAGTACTCGAAAGGTTTTTACAGTTATACAAAGTTATACAAATAAAAATCCCTGAAAATGTTATTTCAGTAAAAACATAAAAACAGTTATTCAATATCAAACGTCGACATACTCCAAATTTGTCCAAACTTTACCAAAAATTCAATAAAACTCAAAATTTTTGCTGAGAGTTGCGGTTTGCATAATTTAATAAAACCTTATTTTCTTTCAGATTTGATAGATTCCTACGACATGAAGGCGGTATACTGTTCCAGTAAAATAATGCCTGCCAATATGACGCCTATACTACTTATACACTACTCGACAATATTTACCAGGAGTGGGATGATGAATCGCAGTTACAGTAATAGTTGCCATCTGCTCCGCTCTATATATGCAAGACAACAGACCTGTGTTAACACCCAAGAAATATATAAAGTCGATTAATACGGTGTCTGAGCATTGCTGATACGTACCTTATTTTGTAACATGTGCATTTATTGGTCATTGACCGCAATCCAGTTAGATTACCTGTACGTTTAATCTTGAATAAATTGAAATATCATATTCATAGTGTCGTCATTTTATCTATCTATCTATCTATCTATATATATATATATATATATATATATATATATATATATATATATATATACATTAGTGAATATACATAATATTCAATGTCGATAGCATGACTCTTCAGGTGCGAAATACATTAACCTGATTTTTATTAAAAGTTTTCGTTCTGAAGCGATGAACATATAGAGATGTTCATGAATTATAACCGAAATTAATATTTAAAGTTTTCTTCTTGATTATTATTATTATTATGCCCTGTAGTTTACATTGAGCTCTTTTTTGATTAACATCCTCCTTGGAATTATCCCTACGAGTCACAAATTTATATGTATATATATATATATATATATATATATATATATATATATATATATATATATATATATAAATCAAATATTTGTAGATAATATCAAAATCTACTATCTATATTTCTCATGTTGTCTGTCTGTGTGTCTGTCGTGGGTGTTGTTACCTCGGCCAGGCCGCATTTCTCACCCGATTTCGATGCGGTTTTCAACAAAAGTTTGCAAATGGCTACCGTAAGGATATGACGGAGCCCGATTTTTGAGTTCGGAATCAGGTTCCGAAAAATCGATAATCGAAAAAATCGATAATCGAAAAAATCGATAATCGAAAAAATCGATAATCGAAAAAATTCTGCTTACAGAAGGAATGATCGCATTTAAAACCAAATTTGACACCCTCTTAGAGTCTACCATTAGAAATGTTGTCCAGAAGTTTCATGACCATGGACCCCTAAACAGCGCGGAAAATCGATAAAACCCAAAAACCGATACGCCCAGATTGCGTCTGAACCGCATGTCGGTTTTTAGCGAAAGCTGATCGGATTTATGAAGAGGCCATTGGGGTCATTATGTGAAGTTTCAACTCTGAGCACCCCACCCCCAAACAGAGTGCAAATCGACAATCGGTCAACCCTTAAAAATGTTTTTTCCGGTTTTTTAAAGCTGATCGTATTGTGTTTATTTTGTTTAGTTCTTTTTTCGTAACAGATTTAATGTTTACTATAGAGCTTAGAAAAAGTTGGCAGTGTGATATAGGCAAGAAGTAAGGCATGTAACAACATCAGCACGGCAAAGGGCACTCCTCTAAAGGCAAGGAAGGGCAAAAATATTTTAAGTCAAGTGATAGCGATTGCTGTATTAGTCGTACTATTTTTGAATCAAGCACGGGCAACGCCGGGCCATGCTACTAGTACTATATAGAACACACTGTAAAGAAAGACTTCAAATACCTGTAGCCATTATTGTACAAATGAAACAACCTGCATTAAGTAACATATATTTCCTCAGAGATTTTCTCCATATTCAAATGTTTATCAAACATTTAAAATACGCCTAAAATAATTATAATACGTATTTAAGTAATCGTTCCTCGTGTAGCCAAAATCTGTGAAACCGTTCTGGATATGACGTCACTTATACGATATACGTATATTTGTTCCAAAAAACATATAGCTGATAACTTTTTTCTTCGATGCTGAGAACATTTAGTTCCTCATAATAATCAAAGAACCAAGACAAAGAGCTCGGATAATTTATTTCCAGTTCTGATTCCAATGTAGAAGACTTTATTCGAAGATTAAGCCATCAAAAAAGAATTAAATAAACAGAATTTGTCGGTTGGACACAATGTAACTTTATAACTTTGTTATGTTTATCGATTACAGCAACTTTTATTTATTTGCTTCTGGTGCCGGAAATAGTGAGAACAAGTAAATATAGAGAAAGTATAATGTTTTGGATTTCATTAAAAACTTAAATATATAAATAGATTCCGTAATTACTCATTACTCTTGGTTAGTCTATTCGAAACAGTGAATTGATGAATTTCCTTAACATACACTCAGAATAAAAAAACTTGATTTAAATGTTTTTTCTCACAAAGTTTTTATAAAACACTTCATTTACAGAAAACAAAAAGGAAAAATCATTCACTCTAATCAAGCTGTCTTCATTAATTAGTGTCATCAATCAAGGCGGATTGAAGCAAACCTACTGAGAAGAGACCTGATGTCGCTAATGAGCATTTTCCCGGTTATCTCACACATCAACTCCACACGTCGTCTCACTTGCTTGTTGACAATGCCAATGGTAATTATTATAATGGCAATAATATAAATAAATAATATAAAATGGACAAGACATGAAAACTGAACAGGTGTCGTTAAGTTATTACTTTTTTTTTTCAAACCGAATCTTTATTTTCTCTCTCTGTCTCTCTCTGTCTCTGTCTCTGTCTCTGTCTCTGTCTCTGTCTCTCTCTCTCTCTGTCTCTGTCTCTCTCTCTCTCTCTCTCTTGGAGTTTTTAAATGATTTTTTTCTCTTTCGCTTCCAACATTTCCTCTTTTTATTCCCTCTTCCATTGCTACTTATTTTTGCTTTTCTAATTGATGGCGTAACCACTTCTCAACTGCAATCACTTTTTCGTTTTTCCTAATTGCTTGTCATTTCTTCACTTTCAGCCTTTTGGCTTTTTCTTTTCACTCTTACCTTTTTCTCGTTTCTTGATTAATTTTCCTTCATCTCATTTTCCCATCCTTTACTTTTTTTCTCGTCATTTATTATTCCCGCCTTTTCCCCCACTCTCTCTATATATACCTTTCTTTCTCTTTCTCTTTCTTCCTTTCTTTCTCTTTCTTTCTCTCTTCCTCCTTCTCGCTCTCTTTCCTTCTTCTTTTCTTTCTCTATCTCTCTTTTTTCTCTCTCTGTCTTTCTTTATTTATTTCTCTCTCTTTTTTCTCTCTCTGTCTTTCTTTATTTATTTCTCTCTCTTTTTTCTTCCATTCTTTCTCTTTATCTCTCTTTCTCTGTCCCTCTTTCTCTCTCTCTCTCTCTCTCTCTTTCTTTCTTCTTTCTTTCTCTCTCTCTTTCTTCATTCTTTCTCTTTCTCTCTCTCTCTTTCTTTCTTTTCTTTTCTTTCTTTTCTTTTCTTTCTTTCTTTTCCCTGGGTTTTGTTATCCCCTGTTTTTCTTATTTTCCACACATTTTTTCTGCAGTGTGAATTTTTTTTTTACAGTAATGTCCACTCGATGTAGAGAGTTACGTTAATGGATAAGAGCGGAAGATAACGGCTAATTCTAGACTTAAGAATGTCGTGATCGGGGAAACATCCTCTTGGGAGTCTGGTCCACATGGCAGTGGTTTGTGGAGAGAAGCAGTTTGTGTGGAATTTTTAGGCGATGGAATACGGAGGGAATGTGAATGGATTGCTACAATGTAAGAAACATGACGGCTCCTAGCCGTGAAGGTTGGACCTAGCGGAAATGTAGCTTGCCCAAGCACTTTCTATTGTAGTAGCGATAGAGTAGTGAGAGATTCGCCACATCCCGCCTGTGAGAGAGAGGTTAGAGGGTGGATAATTCTTCACCGACACGGACTCAGAGACTCCTTTGAGCCCCTGGGAATTTATGTCCGCGATCATCTCCCGCTGGCTAAAGAACTCTCTTTGGGATCTCCAGACCATACGTATATGTGTCTCCGTCTATCTCTCCTGAATTCAGTAAGCTATCTCTTCTTTCTCTACCATTCCCCTTTCTCTCAAGGCTGTTGTGTACTCGATAGCATTTCTGATAATATTTACCCGGTCTACCGCTGATGTGCTTACGGCCATAACTGAATATGTATACCAAGTTCTTCATAATAATGGCGAAGCTCTAACTGTTGCTATAGATATATCGAAGGCGTTTGACAGGTTTTGGCATGTTGGCTTCAGGGATACGGTATTATAGGACGATTATTTGATTTAATCCAATCATTCCTGTCTAATCGTGAAATGAAGGTTGTCCTGAATGGGTTCTCCTCCAGTTCTTTAATTAAAAACGATGATTTTCCTCAATGATCTTCCTGGCGTCATCAAGTCGGTATCTACGCAGACGACACTGCCCTTTGCTTCTGTCTTAATAATAAATCCAGCATTGCCGACAAAGTTAACCTGGTCGTTGGTTTCGAAAACGACCTCCAATCTGTAGTTGAGTGGGGCAGGAAATGGCTTGTGAATGCTTTCAAGAGGAAACTGTTGTCATTTATTTAGAGAAAGGTCCCTGCCTCGTATCAACAGGGTTGGTGTTCAACTCCACGATAGCGGCTCACTGTGCCTTCTTGGTTTCACGTTTTCCACTGACCTGAGAAAAAACAATTACATTGAATCAATAGCTGCATCTACTGCAAGGAAAGTTGGTTCTTTGTGTCGCGCCAGAAGGTCTTTCACGCCAGTGTCCATCCTTCACATCTACAAATTCGTCCATACATGGAATACTATTGCCATATATGGTCTGGTGTCCCCGCTATTCATCTCGAGGTTCTCGACAAAATCTTATCAGTCCTGACTTGCGACCTCGGCTCCAGTCACTTTTTCAACGAAAATATTTATAGAAAAGTCAGAGGGAAGCCATATGGCTTCCCTCTGACTTTTCTATAAATATTTTCGTTGCATCTGCTCTGACGAGCTATTTTCACTGGTGCCTCCTTTCCTCTTGCTTGCTCCCCTGATAACTATAATTTTCAAAAATTTAAATGTAATGTCAATCGACATCTTCTGTTGCCTTGATCCCCGTTCTTCTTTTTATCCTTTCCTCAACCTATACCCAGTGTTTTCCCTTACTTACACTCTCTGTAACCCCTTGCGTACTAGTAGCGTTCCCGCCTTGCTTGGGGTGAAATGATTAAAAGAAAAAGAAAAAAATTCTAGAGGAAAACTCAAGTAAAACAACAGTCCTCCATTTTCGGTCTCATCTGGCTCTTGTAATCGTAGAGGATTTCATAAGGAGTCAGGTACTTACTATAGAGCGGTACAAGGAGCCGATCATTTTATTTGCATCTTTAGCGATGGATCGTATATAAGAGTTCCACTTGGCACGGAACCTCCTCAAGAGGGCATCCGTTCATCGTGACTGGCATTAATCCTACTTATTGGAGGCAATGACGAGGAAAAAGACGAGACCCTTATTCAATGGGACATTAGCAAAGAAAAAAAAATAGCATTTATTAAAATGGCAATAATTATTTTTACAAAAATACAAAAATGATTGTTTGTGCGCCTCAAATTGTCTGGCAATTTTAATATTATCTTTCTTATTATAAATAATTTTTATATTAATTTTTACACAATTCTAAGATTTTCGTTTTTATAAAATAGATAATTTTTAGTTTTCAAATTGAGAATCTCGATCAACATCAATCATTTCATTGTATTTTCAAATAATGATTTATCCTGGGACTCCAGACAAAATAATTTATTGCCCTGGTTTAAAATCAATTGCATGTTAAAAGACATCATGGTACTGGCATCAATAGTCACTATTCTAAGTGGAATTATAAAGGCTAAACATGAACTCAATTTGTTTTACTAATAACAAGTAAAGGTTTATCACAGTTTTACGTTGTTTCAACATTGATTATCGATTTTAACTCCTACAATTTCAGTTTAATCGGCATCGACGAATCGTTTCGTTTCATTGATTACAAGGACTTTAGATCGATTTAGGAGGCAAGATATTCATTATTTTAATGAGTAAATTTCAAATCATGAGTGGCTATAACTTACCTGTGTTAAGCATACGACCGGGTCGTTTTTCATCGATTGGTTGGTTTCCTTTCGTTCGATCGGCGTTTGCGTCGATGAGGAACAAAACTGGTAATGTCTCAGTGTAAATTCTTTAACGAAACTGAAGAGGAGATATCGCACTAGCAGTCATGAATAAGGCCGTACCAAGATATGGCCATGATGAGAATAGCAAGAACTGTGGTGATTTTGATAAACATATTTTTTTATTAATAGATCAGTTCATTTGGCACTGTTGGGGAGTACAGAAGTGACGCTTGTGATATCTTTGCTGTTAGTTCTGTCTAACGGACCAACTTATCTCTTCCGACACCGAGAACTCCGTCTCTAAACTGTACATCACTTCCTATTTTCACCGTGTCTCTTCTCATGAAGATGCATCGCTTCTTACTCGAAACATTACTCTCATTCTATCCCTTATCGAGAATGCGGCCCATAAGTCATCCCTACCTTCCACTTGAATGTCATATGATCCCTATTAGAATTTAATTTAAGAACCACTACAAAAATATTTTACAAGTTAACGTTCTAGCATCTTTTCTGATCACTGTCCCGGCTTTCATCCCTGATTTCAAAACTGGCTGCCAAAGACTTGATTCTTATCAGAGATAAGAATATATTTCTGACGTATGTGAGAGCAGGAAAAGTGTATATAGCAAATTTTGGAAGGAAAAGCTTCCAATATTTCTGAGCCTTCTAATCTCGATAAATACATAGAATGTGCACCTCTTTGGCAGTGAACCTGTTGTTATAAAATAAAATAAGACATATCTCGGCTGATTTACAGGCAAATAAACTAACATACTCAAGAGCGAGAGCCGGGTGTGAACGGGGCAAACCCCGTCACAAAATGACCATTATCTTCGTTTACACATGTTCCCGACGCACGAGTTCCAGTCGAAAAATAAAAAAATAATTTAAAGTGTTTCTATTTTTCGACCAATAAAAATGCTTCCCTCCTAATTATACTCGCGTCGTTTTTCGAGCCTGTTAAGCCATAAATAAACGCCATAAAAGGGGTCACACGGAAGCACAACACCAGTCAACAGGAGGCCAGGGAAGAGACCTGTCACGGTCAGGTTGAGCGGTCAGCAGCAGCCAGCAGCAGAGTAGCCACACGCCAACCAGCGAAAACTACTATGAGAGATCAACCCAGATCTTCAGCCGGCCTATGAACTATTCCACACGTTCCTATTGAAATAAATCACGTAAATCTATTTCTGCTGTTGTCGTATTTCTTTCTTGCAACCATACGCTTGTCTATAACACTATTTTAGGGAAGAAATCTACATGCTGGACTCTAAAGATGGCCCTCTATTAAACTGCCCAAGATCTGCTTCCTAGGACCTTGAAATATCTGTCGTCGACATACGAACTCACTCAAATACAAACTACGGATCTTCCGATTGTTCCCCCTCAACAAAAGCTCTGAAGAAACTCCTTAAAAGCGAGTATTAACCCCTTAAGAGCAATTTACTTGCGTAAAAGAACTTTTAAGCGCCCAGAGAAATATTTTGAGCAATCCTTTGCATGAACATTTTTTCTTCCTTTAAGTTAATAGAATTTTCTTCTCCCTTTCTTTAACTCATATTTTATGTATATCCCTTGAATTTTTTTTGTGCATGTAAATAAACATTTTCTTCTATTATTACACCCCAAGCAGGAGTTTGAGTTGTTATTCTTCCATCTAAAAGAGAGTATTGTCCTATCTAAACTTTCAAGCTGTTGTTGCTTTTATCGATTCTGTCACGTTTCACTCTTTCATGTCGGAAAACCGGAACAAATTTCACACATCCCAAAAATTTTCCTTTATTTTATTTTATCTTATTTTCTTTTCCTACTTTTCTGTCTGTGCGGTTGCTTTGAAACTCTCACATCTCGATTTTACTGCTGGTCGAAACTCAATAGGTTGAGCCCCAAGAGCCACGTCTTCTTTCTCCAAACCTGTTCCTCCAGAACAAAAATATGTGTCGCTTGGGGCAAAAGCCATTGGGTTTCGAATACTTAGATGAGTATCACCATGGAACGTACTGAGTATCGGCGCTATATCGAGTCTAGTCAGTTTCTTCTTCGTCACGGTAGTGGATGCGCACAGCTGATGAGTCCCAAATAGGGCGAAACGGCCATCGAGTGCTTCCTGTATTCTGTTGAGGATTTTTCTAAACATGATGAATTACTATAATGAATATATATATATATATATATATATATATATATATATATATATATATGAAATGGATTACATCCGACATATTTTTAATTTATTAGTTTAACCGTTTTAATGGATATTCATATTTGAGAATATGGTCTGTTTTTATTATCAAATAGTATATTTATTTATTTACATCTCGAATATTAAGGCTGGTAGAAGTAAATAAATAAAAATACTGTTCAGCAATAAAAATATTAAAGATAACGTTTAAAAAAATAAATTAAACATATATATTAATTTATATTTTGTCTGCAAACTTTCTT